TTTAAGGTATTGTTGAGAATTTGGACCAAATAAGGATTTTGGAAGTTATCTCAAGGCTATGAGGTTTTAGAAGTACCTCTGTAAAAAGTTTGTTCTAAAAATTCAATATATTTTGTGGACTAAGTAGAAAGAAAGCGTAAGTGACACCTTGAGATGTGTTGTTGCGGGAGGATCTCTGCTGTTGCGGTGAAGAACGTGTTGAGACCACGTCAGCAAGGCATGAAGACAATTGTCCAGCCCCATGGAGACTGGAGAGGGGAGTGGGTGAGCTGCCAGGGGAACGTGCTGAGGAAGCCCCGGTGCCTCTGTCTGTCGGCATACAACTGAGATCCCATGTCCAGCGCAGCACACTCAGGACCTGTAGCGAGCCAGGTTAATTTTAGATGTTTAAGGAGCGACTATGTGGTATTTTTAAGGGTACCGTGAAGCCACCCTTAAGATTAAATTCGTTATCTTAAGAGCAGCAAAGCTGAACATGCAAACCATGCAGGGCACTGCGTGCCCGCACGTGCTTGGTGGTGCGACCAGGCATGGGAAGAGTGCTTGTTCGGTGGCTTTTCAGGCCCCACTGGAGAGACGGCGCGACAGCTACCTGCAGGCAATGCAGCAGGCTATCTGCAAGCCCCTAGGTCAACAAGAGCAACGTGAGTCTGGGAGGTGGCTGTGCTCCCCCTGCTTTCCAGGTGGTACTGAGGAGCCGTGCTCATGCTGTCTTGAGGTCTTCTCTGGTTATTGCCAGAGACATGGCACAGTAATAGTCATGTGGATTCTCAGTGGATCTGGATTTTATGGGGCCGCTTTGGCAGTGGTGGTGGTTATTCCTCTGTCACACAGTATCGCTGCTATTGACCGTGTCATCTCTCTCTGGTTGGGTTTCTTTACAAGGTAATGCTTATGCTAAGTCATGGTGCCTGCGGTTTCATGGTGCGCTTGTTGTGTGGCTCAGAATTGTTTGACCTGTGAGATGTATTTGTCCCTTTTCTGCGGGTTTGAATTTGATGTCAAAACCCATTAAGCCCTCAAAGTCCTACAGGTCTAATGTTCAGCAGTCAACAGCATTGATTTGCTGTTGGCAGGAGGGTGTGTTTGCTTCCACCACCAGTGCTTTTTAAAAATAATTCTATTTGTTGCACGCCAAAGAGTCCTTGTGTCCCCTTTCAAATGCCTTCATGTTGACTGCAGCAAAATCTAATGTTTATGCCAAACGCTCTCCTACACGTTTCCAAACCTTTTAGCAGTGTTTGCACTGAGATTTTTCACTTAAAGCCAAAGCAGTTAAGAGCTCCACTTGATACCTTTTGTAAGCGAGTCCAGCGAAGGTCTGCTAAGCTGATTAAGGGACTGGAGGCTCTCTCCTAAGAGGAAAGGCCGAGGGAGCTGGGACTCTTCAGCCTGGAGAAGAGAAGACTGAGAGGGGATCTGATCAATCTGTGCAAATATCTAAAGGGAGGGTGTCAAGAGGATGGGGCCAGACTCTTCTCCGTGGCGCCCAGCGACAGGGCGAGAGGCAATGGGCACAAACAGAAACACAGGAAGTTCTATCTGACATGAGGACAAACTTCTTTCCTGTGAGGGTGACTGAGCACTGGACCAGGTTGCCCAGACAGGTTGTGGAGTCTCTTTCCCCGGAGATACTCAAAAGCTTCCTGGACGCAATCCTGGGCGGCGTGCTCTGGGTGACCCTGCTTGAGCGGGGGGGGGTTGGACTAGATGATCTCCAGAGGTCCCTTCCAACCTCAACCCTTCTCTGATTCTGTAAAGACATCCACCTTCTGTCAAGAAAGGGCAGCATTTGGACCGGATGAGTGGGAGGAGTGGCTTATGTGTTGTCCCGCTGATACGCGCGTGTTGGAGCATCCCACACTCTGAAAGGGAATCGAAGCTGGCCCCTGACGCTGAGGAATTTAGTCATTTTAATCATTACTTGGGACTAATCATCTGTATTTTATGTTGCTATGATCTCTTTGGTATTCAACAATGGCTTTTTTAAAATTATCATATATATTATATAGAGCTTAATATATTAAGAGATACCGTAAGGGTGATTACCAAGTACGTAATTTCATCCATAGGTCCTTATAATGATGGTTAATGTCATAAATGCCTTTTAATGAAATTATAGGCTTGTAACCCTGCCGGAGTATCCTTTATATGTCATATAATTAATGAGACCAAGATACCAGTGTTCATCTCAGTGTCACAAAGCGTCATGTAAAGTTCCATGCTGATGGTAGATGGTTAGTCTCTTATCAGAGTCAGAGACGGATTAAGGCTAGGCAGCTTGAATATATGTTAGCTTATCTTTAAAGGCAGCTGGATGGGCTTGTTGGCGAAAGGACTTTTCACAGAATATATATGCTCATAAAAAACATTGGCCATTGAGCTAATATATAATTATAATACATAGAAAATTTTAAGGAAGTGAAAAGACAAGCGGATTGCAGCCCATGGAACGCAGAAATGTTTTCCTCCTGCTTCACTGAGGGTACTGAAAATTTGTGTCTAACTTAAACACATGGAGATGGAAAAGAAGCATCATCTTGAATTCAAGACGCTGGCCTGGAACTTAGAAGATCGGAGATTATTTCTCAGTCTGGCCAAATTTCTGTATGACTCTGGCGAAGTCACTTAACATCTTTCGGCTTCAGATTTCCTGTCTGAAAAAAAAACAGAGACTGTACTATTTCTTTTCTTCATCTTCCCTTTCTAGTTTTTAACTTGCTGGAGCAAGGGAGATCTCTGTATTTTTTGTTTTGGTTTGGTTTTGGCGCCTACCGTAGACTCACAGATTCTTAGAATCATTCAAGTTGGAAGGGGGTCGTCTTATCCCACCTCTTGCTCAGAGCAGGGCGATGCTGAAGGTCTGGCCTCTAGGCCCTTTTATTATTGCGGATAATAACAAGAGAGAGAAATTTTACAAGACTGTGGAAAGTAGTTCTAAAAATTCATGTATGACTTCCCAAAGATTATTTTATTGTTCTTTGCCCTTCAGGGAATGATGTACCTGGAAGAGAGGAGACTCGTTCACCGGGACTTGGCAGCGCGTAACGTCTTGGTGAAATCCCCAAACCATGTGAAGATCACTGACTTTGGCCTAGCCAGGCTTTTGGAAGGGGATGAGAAGGAGTATAATGCTGATGGAGGGAAGGTGAGTACTCTACGTTTCTGGAGGTAAATATGTCACCCTTTCTGCATCTCCTGAAGTTTTAGGACAGTGTATCCTTAAGGGACTATAGTATGCATATAAGTATGTTCAGTGACTTAGCAGAGCCCTTTATTCTAGCAGTTAACTGTGTTGTGATACCAAACATAAAAGCTATTTGTTTTTGCTCAGTGAGTTTCTACAGGTCCATCAATAACATCTTCTGAACGGCTTTCACACTCAGAATTAGGTTTTGCTCTTGTGCTTCATTTTGTATCTTGTGTTGAAGAGTTTTGAAGTCAGTCCAGGGAGTGATGGCTGTTGTAGCGCATTGCTAGCGGGTCCCCTTTCTCCAGCCAGGATGGACCTCAGTAGTTTTGCAAGTCCGTTTTCCCAGATAGGTCTTTCTCCAAGAAACAGAGAGGAAGGCCACAAAAAAACATGTTTGTATTTGTAGCAGATGAAAGAGTTTGGATATGCTCTGCAAAGAGCCACTTCTTGTGTGACAGTGAAAGAGCCTTCTTCCGAGTGTCCAGGGCCGTTCTGACTGCCAGCCCACTGAAAAGATGGCTTCAGGATGACTTGGAAACCAGACTTTTTCCCATATTACTTTTCAGCACAGCTCGGAACTTCCACACAGTGCCTCACACACTTAATAACGCCTTCACATTGAAGCATGACAAAATTCAGAAGGCCATAAATATGTTCTTCTGCTGCCTGCTCCCTAAACAACTTGAAATTCCACGTTTCAGTCTGTCCTGCATCACAGAATCCCAAGTGGCTCTGCCTCTCCTGTCACTCCTTTTCTCAAACGTTCAGTTTGCTTTCCGTCTGCTTGCTACCTGTGTTTTTTTTTCCACTCGCTTACCCCGTGTCTGGGAAAAAACAGCTAATGACAGTAGGTGCTTTTCCCCTGGTTGGTCTGCTGCCTTATTTGTAGTGCTGCTGCCCTTGGCAGCTGTTGCATGGGTCACGTTAGCGTTGCAGTGAATGAGGTGAAGAAGTTGGGAAAGCACTGGTAACTCCTTTCATTTGCCCCAGTAAAAATACCTCCTGGCAGGGAGGGTGGAGGTTTAGCAGTCTTCCCTGATGCCTTTGGTTCTCTCATTCCCTCTTCCGTAACCCCTCTGCCTCTTCTGCGTCTTCCCTCCATCAGCCAGTGAATGACAGAAAATGAGCTGGTCCTTGCAAACCAGCTGTTCTTGGCAGCTGTTAGGTGGCGTCTCGGACTTGTGAGGCCAATCACACTCGTGGGAGTTCTGGAGCACGGTTTACGCATCAGGGTTGTCACTTCCCCGTTCCAGAAAGGTGTCCTATTAAATCCAGAAAACATTTGCAGTTTAAAGTTGTATTGTAAGCATGCTAAGAGAAGTTCAGCCTGGATAAAAGGAAAAATTTTTTCACTGTGAGGACAAACAGTGGAGTAGGTTGCCCAGAGAGGTTGTGCAGTCCCCCATCCTCGGAGGTTTTCAAGACCAGGCTGGATAAAACTCTGAGTAACTTGATGTGATGTTAAAACTGACCCTGCTTTGAGCCAGAGGTCTCACTGGAGACCTGCAGCCCCTTCCAACCAGGTTCATCCTGTTATCCCATGAGGTGGCTTTACTGTTCCAGCTTGGAACAGCCCTATTGAGTTTGATGGGGATGAAAGTAATGCACTTCCGAGAGCTTAGTGGAGGAGGATGAACTGTCTTTGCAAGTGCTAAGCCAGCCTTTAATAAAGAGTGCTATTTTTGCCATAGCTCTGTATAGGTTATGATCATGAGTCAACTGCATGGAAGGTATTTTCATAAGGGTTTGAACGAAGACACATCCTCTGCTTTTACACCCACCATCTGTTCAGATATTGCATGCCGTAATGTCTTTCTTCAGTTGAGGGTTTATTCCACTGCGTGTTCCATAGTTCCAAGTTAGACAGGACCCCTACAAGGCCATGCCAGATAAAACTCAGGTTATGTGTCTGGCCAGATAAAACTCAGGTTATGTGTCTGGCCAGATAAAACTCAGGTTATGTGTCTGTCCATTAGAAATCAATGGACTGCAAGGCTGTGCTTCAGGGGTCTCGCTCAGGAAAGGAAAACACTGGGAATTTCATCTTAACGTGATCCCAGGAGGGGAAACCCTTATGCCAAACCGAAGTTTGTGTCTGCCTGCTCACCCTTTTTTATCAGGAAGGTAGATGAGCTCCCCCAAGAGGGGAGGTAATTCACAGCCAGACGCTACCTTGCGACCTTGGGCTTTCTGGAGAAACCTTTCTCACTGCCTGCGTTAATGACACAGAGAATGAGCAAGAGAACTGCCTTCCTAACACGTACGTTAGGAGTCAAAAATTAAGCACAGTGAATCCTCCCTACTGCTTTTTTACACTGATGATGATGATTACACGGACTGTGAAATCTTACAGACAGTGCATTATTAAATAGCCTAGCTAGAGAGCCATCAAGGTAACAGTGCCTGGTTTTGCAAACCCTTGAGCAAGAAGAGCTCCCGAATTCCAGCTTCTGTGCTCCACTTCAGACTTCGGGAGGTTGAATGTAGCTTTTGCGTTTGTCCCATCCTTACAGGGGAGAAACTAGGTGGTGGACTTGGGATACAAACTGCAGGCACGACAAAAAAGTAAGGTGTTCCATTATATCTGAATCACTGAAACGTGGGTGCTATGAAAGGTTGGGCAGGCAATTTATTTAGATTTCTCACCTCAGTATGTTTTGTGAGTCCAAGCCTATCGAATTCAGCTCAGTTGTAGAAGGCAGCAATAACTATTTCCTCTGCAGGGGTGCTACTGCTTTTTGGTAAGTTTGCCCTTGGAAAGGGATACAAGGAAGACGCTGATGTCTAGATCATTTAGGATCTAGTCATATTATT